TGGACGATTGGTATCTGGGCTCCGGATGTGATTCTCAGCCACGCTCCGCTCCAGTGCCTTTCTTCCCAGAGGTTCATGAAGAGCTCACTAAAACGTGGAAGGCTCCCTACACCGCCCGGTCATGTTTGAGCTCTCCCCTCCTCACTACCCTCGATGGTGGGGCTGCCAGGGGTTACGTCGACGTTCCCCAGGTGGAGTGTGCCGTTGCAGTGCACCTGTGCCTGCAAAACACCGCCACTTAGGAATCATATGCGCCTCCCATCCAAAGCCTAGCTGCCAAGGCTTACAGTGCTGCAGGCCAGGCCAACTCCACTCTGCACGCCATGGTCCTTTCACAGGCTTCCATTCAAGATGTTGATGCAGAAGCGCATTCTTTCATGCATTCGACACCAGGATTGGTTTTGTAATATCAGATTACTTTTCTTAGGGAATTAATCATTATTATTCTAGCTCAGGTTTTGAACGGAATCGAATCTGAAAATTCGAAGTCAGCCTGATTAGAACTGATTTCCAATTTGATAGGTTACACTTTATCAACGGTCGTCCAGCGAGACGTTAACCTCAGTATATTTGAAAATTTGAATATTTGTATTTTTCCTGGCCACGGGTTAATACGTGTTTTGATAAGTTATAAGCTACGAGCTAGGTAACAAGATCTTGGCAAGGTTCAACTTTAAAATTACAACACAAGACAATGATTCTTTATAAATGAAACAAGAATTTATTGGCTATTCTAGATTACATTAAACTAAGCTAAAACACACATATACACACACACACATACACACACACAAAGGTTCAGGGAAATGATGTTAACGGAGTTCTGAGGAAAGCCCAAAGTTTTAGCAAGATATTCGCTACAGTTCTTTTACTTGCAACCTGAGAAAATTCATAAAGCAGAGACTTGGCTTATGTTTACTGCTTAAAATTAGCTCGGCACCAGTTCAGCAGATGGAGTGGTTGAGTTTTGGATGACTGATCGCTTTGATGGTGAGCGTGTGAGCACAAGTTGGAGTGCTATTAACACAGCGAAAGGCAAAAAAGCAAGCAAGCAACTGAGTCTGTCTTGCATTGGGTTTTTGATCCGTGGCATAAGTCCGTCCCACGGCGCGATCTTCCAATCGACTTCTTGCGTAATAGCTTTATCTGCTAAAAGGGGTTAAAAAAACATTGATTAAAGTTGCAAGGTTACATTTTGACACCTCACACATATATAAGACATACAACATATTATTTGTGAATATGGTTGCCCCTTTTATACGCATAAATGATTGTCTGTTGAAATCATCCAGTGAGTTTTGCGTGTTCCTTTGTTTCTCCAAGAGAAGCGCGCGTTTTCCTCGAATTTAGAGGAAGGGAGAGCACAGAGAAAACCCTGAGGTCAAGGAGGTTGTCAAAAGGTCCTGGTCATAGACCTGCTATTCTTCTCGCTGGACATGGAGCTATTAATCTGTCGCTTTCTGTTTATCGGATTATCAATTTATGCGTTAGACGGTCATGGGGTCCGGACCCCTGAGTGTCTGTCGCTAGAACATTTCCAGATACCAGGTTCTTTGTTCTGTGGTTTATTAGATGGTTTATTTATGCTGAAGCCAGTCACGAAACAACACTGACGTTCTGTTGCTTAAATGAGTCCAGATTGGGGGGGGGGTCAGTTATTGCTGTCCTAGTGCTTGCCGACCCTTGGTTTGGTAAATCTCTCCTTGTGTTTCTTGTAAAGATAAGCCGAGCGGGACAGGAACTTATTTGAGACAATTGGCGCCTGGGCTGACCATGGTTCAGCTTTACGACTCTCATATGGTTGAGAAAGAGATGTTAGTTTTCCGGTGGAATGCGGAGATTCCATTGTTCATTTGTGTGATGTTCGCAAATTCCTTAGATATCCCCCTTTAGCTCGGTGATGTTCCCGGTGCGAAAATCGGTGGGCACTGGAACAAGAGGCATAGAGAGAGAGGACAGGCACACACAAGATACAAACAACATCTCCATCACTAACTAAATCCTGGTGCATTCATTTGTGTGATGTTCGCAAATGCCTTACAGTTTGCAGTGATCGGCCTGAAGGACGCATACTTCCTCCTCTTTGGGCTGTCCCTGTCTCACGGTGTCTTTACAAAAGTCATGGAGGGTGCCCTGTCCCCACTTCGGGAGATGGGTATCTGAGTCCTCAGCTATCTCAATGACTGGCTTATATTAGCTCACTCACAAGATCTGTTGTGCGAGCACAGGGATATGGTGCTTCAGCATCTCAGCCAGCTGGGGCTTCGGGTCAACTGGGAAAAGAGGGTCAACTGTGCAGAGCATCCCTTTTCTCGGTATGGAGATGGACTCGGTCAACATGACAGCACGTCTCACAAACAAGCGTGCTCAGTCGGTGCTGAACTGCCTGAATTCATTCAGGGGGAAAATGGTGGTTCCTCTAAAGCAATTTCAGATGCTCCTGGGGCATATGGCATCTGCAGCCGCAGTTACTCTGCTCAGGTTGTTACATATGAGACTGCTTCAGCACTGACTGCACAGCCAAGTCCCGAGATGGCCATGGCACTGCGGCACTCACCGGGTCGGCATTACCCAAGTTTGTCTGCGCTTTTTCAGCCTGTGGTCAGAACTTGCTTTTCTATGGGCAGGTGTGCCCTTGGACCAAGTGTCGAGGCACGTTGTTGTCACAACAGATGCCTCCTGGACGGGCTGGGGCACTGTATGAAATGGGCATGCAGCTTCGGGCTCCTGGACGGAAACTCGACTGTAGTGGCATATCGATTGCCTTGAGTTGCTGGCAGTACTGCTTGCTCTTCGCCTGATTGGTCCATTGTTGCAAGACAAGCATGTGCTCATCCACACGGACAGTACTGTGACGGTTGCGTACATCAACCATCAGGGGGGGATACGTTCTTGTCACATGTTGCAACTCACCCGCCATCTGTACCGTTCATGTTCAAGGGGAGCTCAATCTTGCAGCCGATGTGCTCTCATGACAGCTTACCCTCCCTGGAGAATGGAGACTCCATCCCCAGGTGGTCCGGTTTATTTGGAATCGATTCAGGGAAGCCCAGGTGGACTTGTTTGCTTTCCAGGAATCCTCCCACTGCCAGCTGTTCTCCCTGACCAAAGCCCCCCTCGGCACTGATGCACTGGCACACAGCTGGCCCTAGGGTCTGCACAAGAGTCCACCAGTTAGCCTCCTTGCACAGATCAGGGAGGACGAGGAGCATGTCCTGCTGGTTGCGCCATATTGGCCCACCCGGACCTGGTTTTCTGGAGAATCCCCCTGAGGAAGGACATTCTTTCTCAGGGGCAGGGCACTATTTGGCACCCACGTCCCGATCTGTGGAACCTGCATGTCTGGCTTCTGGACGGGACGTGGCGGACCTCACTGGCCTCTCACGGGCTGTGATAGATACTGTCACTCAGGCTAGGGCCCCCCTCTACCAGGCAGGCCTATGCTCTGAAGTGGGGTCTGTTCGTTGACTGGTGTTGCTCTCGCTGAGAGAACCCCTAAAGATGCCTGTTCAGCATTGTGCTTTCCTTCCTCCAAGAGAAGTTGGACCGGAGGCTGTCCCCCTTCACTTTGAAAGTATATACCACTGCTATTGCAGCGCATCACGATGCAGTGGATGGAAGATACTTGGGGAAGCCAAGGACCTCCTCCTCGTCGTCCCTGATCTTGCACAGCGTCTGTGCAAGGAGGCTCACTGGGGGACGCTTGCGCAGACCCCAGGGCCAGCTGTGTGCCAGCACATCCTTCCGAGGGGGGCCTCGGTCAGGATGATCTTCAGGTTCCCGAGAGGCGCGAGGAGATTAAATCCCCCCAGACCACACCTCATTCCCTCTTGGGATCTCTCAGTGGTCCTGGTACATCTGTCCTGACATGATTGTTTGTCATCATCTGCACCTTAAATTTTCGTAACACAGTTCTGGTTGTGGTGCTTTCCATAGGGACCCCTAACGTCAGTGTCGACATAACGTTGAACGCTACTGACTGAAAGGGTCCCTCATGTCACAACTGTAAACTGCACTGAATGCCGGGATGATTTCTCGGTTCCTCAGCACAAACCTGAATGAGTGGATGCATGCCGCCATCTTATATACCCGTATGTATGGGGAGTGACTAGGCATGCAAATTCAACTCCGCCAATTGTCACTGGCCGTTTCTTGTAATGCTCAGAGGTGATTGGGGCTCCCAAGTGAGACCCCTAATGTCAGTGTTGATCGAAACTGAACACTGGTTTTGAGAAGGCGGATGGAGACATCAGATGCGGCGGAACGGTCGAAAGGTAAAACGAAGCGACTGCATGACTATTAAATTTATCATGATCGGTTTACCCTATTAATCTCACAATATGAGATGGTGAGCAGGGAAATGTCTCATCAATTACTTTGACAGACAACAGAGAACAAAATGTCAAACTAATGAACCCTGCCATCAAAGTGTAATCTCCATGAAAAATGATTAATTTAGTCGTTGTGGAGTAACCCTGCATGCCTCGAGCCCAGATAATCGCCCTGCCCCGTCCCAAGGCTGCTGGTAATAATGCAGACAGATGGATATCATGTGGGACACACCAGCAGGTATTCATCTTGCCGTGGAACACAGAAGAGAAAGACAGGGAGCCACTGGCTGTATTGATGCTGACATCACCTCACCACCTCAAATCATTCTCCAGTCTTCCTCCCCGGATCCTGGATCCCCCCGCCCCTGCACCTTGGTTCCTGGCCATTAATAAATCCGTCCGTCTCCCCGTCCCTGCTATTTGAAGCTGAGGAGCCCCGCACTTTCACATACACAGACCGCTCGCAGTGTTGCATCTGTCTGCCGTGGCATGTGTGCCTGCGTTAACGCGTGTGTGCACCACTAAAAGAGAGAGAGAACGGGTGAGCGAGTCAGCGAGGAGAGGGAGAGAGAACGGGAGAAGGGATAAGCGAGCGATCGAGATTCCTGCTACTTGAAGCCGAAGAGCCCCACACTTTCACATACACAGACCGCTCGCAGTGTTGCATCTGTCTGCCGTGGCATGTGTGCCTGCGTTAACGCGTGTGTGCACCACTAAAAGAGAGAGAGAACGGGTGAGCGAGTCAGCGAGGAGAGGGAGAGAGAACGGGAGAAGGGATAAGCGAGCGATCGAGAGAAAAGGGGTGAAAGAGACGCCGAGTGCATGAGAGCAAGACAAAGCAATGAAATTCATCGGAGCTGTTTACCTCCTGTTCCTCCTCCCTGCTTTAAGCTTCAACAGCAGGTAAGAGCAGATTTACATCTCCGGCTTTAGCCATCAACCCCATCATTCTGTCTGTCGTGGACACAATAGCTGATTATATTCATCTGTGATGCGGGCTACTGTTAAAGCCTCCATCTATGCTTAAAAATCTCTGAAGAGAGAAGCAGAGCGATTGAGACGGCACAGAGAGCGAGGTGAAAGATGTTTAACAGCTCAACTTTTTCCTGCTTCTGCTCTGGGCTTGGCTACCCTGCAGACAAAACAGAGACATTTGCTTTCTGGAACACAGAGTGAGTGAAATGTGACAGAGGTTTGTGGCTTATGGGAAGGAACAAGTTTTGTGGCATTCAGAGTTTTGGGATGCCCGTGCAATTGCAGAATGTGTTTGTGTGTGTGTGTGTGTGTGTGTGTGTATTATGCAGCGAAGGGAAGAATCTGAGATGAGGAATAAAGAGAGAAGAACGGCTAAGCCAGGAGGAGTCTTGCAGAGTCAGGGAGTTTTCAAGGATTGATCATTAATTTAACTACTGATAAAGCCGTGCCTCTTCCTCTCTGAACCCAGAGCACGGGAAAGGTCAGTGAGCACTCAGCCAAGATTTGAGAATTGACTTTATCATCTATGGGGTGTTCTTTATGCTCTTTTTGGGTAAATTATAAAGCTTGTTAATAGCGAATTTGTTCTGCAAATACTTCTGTTTTTTTTATTAAAACTTCAGGTTTTAATATTTAAAGCTTTTTCTCAGTGAAAACTGGTGACAGTTTTTGGCTATTAGTTTTAAAAGAGATCTACAGCATATATGAAAGTTAATTAATAAGACTCTTAACCATTATATTTTCAAATCAAAGGCGCGGCTTGAATAAAATATGTTAATGTAGTCATCTTATAACATAAAGAGAATTCAATCTCACTTGCTTTTTCTTAATGCAAGACATTTATCAAGGCCAGTCTCTGTGAGTCACATCTCCAGATTCTCATTAGACCAGTGTCAAACACACATTTGAACTACCTTTTCAAATTCTAAGTAGAATTTTTCCATATAAACCTAGATGCTTCTGCCTTGAAACGGACACTGGTGATGATGCCTGTAATTTTTTTTTTTACTGTACAGAGACATCTTTATGTTTAAAAACCCCTTTAATACATATTCCTTTTACATCTCTGGACTCTACTTGTGTTTACATTGTATTCATGCATTTGATAGATGCTTTTATCCAAAGCGACTTGAATTGAATTCAATATATACATTTTATCAGATCCATGACCTTGCCGTTGCTTTTTTGAGTGATTCTGTAGATCATTTGCTTTTAGTTGTTATTGATGAGAAAAAAAATAATTTTAAAAATGTTAACCTTTTGAAAAGTTATTATTCTATTTGTATGTTATCAATAAAGTCATACAAAATACTTTTTTCTGCCCAGACATTTGGCACAAGGTCATACTTTTAACTGAGATACAGTGCAGTGGAGCATAAAAGCAACAACATACAGTGGTGTAAAAAACAGCACTTGCCATAATTTCTCTGGGATTTTCCTCCAAACTGAGCATTGCTGTGCCTCTTGTATGTTTTAGTCATCACAACAGTCATACCTTTTGTTGCCTTCAATGATACTCTTCTACTATTCTTTGTTGTGATTTTTGTGTTTATATCATTTGAACATCATATTCAGTTCTGTTGCGAAACATAATCTAGCACAATATTTAGCTGTATAAGATGTATATGTAAGTGGTATAAGATGAAGATGAGGCCGCCACTCTTTCCAGTTTTACCTTTCCAAAGATCATGCACTCTGGGAGAAATGGTCTATAAAATCGTACTGTATATCAAGAACTGGAAGAGTTTTCTAGTGCATAAAACAGCATGTTACAGTTGATCAGAGACAGCTACATAGTGCTCATAATATAAAAAATCACAAATTCCCACTTCTATGAGTATAGAAATGTAGTTTTTAAATTTTAAGAGTGTAGCTCTACTTTTTGATGTTTCCTTCAATTTTTAAATTACTTCCTTCAGATTCGTAGGTTAAAAACATGGTCATAAAATATGTTTGTGTGGCTCTCATTTAGATATTCAGAATCCCAGCCCAGCAGTAAACCGGTCTCATGCCAAGAGCAAAAACGCTTTCTCACAATCTACACCAACATTTCATCAATTCTGCTTACTGGTCTGCAAAGCTCAGCAGACAAGTGTATTGAACTACACATGTATAAATCAGCAAGCTGTACTATTCAGCATTTTATACAGAGATGATTACATTATGCTGCATAAGCATTTGGTGTTTGGGGAAACCTAATCCAAACAGAACTGTACTGAACGATTTCATCAGTGCCCATAAGTAGCGCAAAAATGGCTAGATGAGGTGAGATGTGGCTTATTTGGAGTAATTGAATTCTTCCACAGCCACATGTTCATGGCATGCCTTTGCGCTCGGTGATGAATAGTTCAGGCTATGGCGGATGAATGAATTGGGAACTTCATTTGAAAGGGCAACCATGACCTTGCCACACACACACAAAACATAGTAAATCTTGGACAGTAAAAAAAATGACCATTCCTGCATGAATAAATTTTTTCACCCCTGTAGGTTTGCATAAGCATTGTGATGTGTGCGTGTTACGCTCTGTACATCATTGCTTTGGAAATGCATCACTGTGTGTTTCAGAATATTTTATGCATTCATACAAGGACATACACTTCTCATGGAATTTCTGTACCTTGTGAGTATTGCGTCAGGTCTGAATATTTTTTTTTTCTTGTTAAAGAAGATTTTATATATTCTTAAACAGCTCATTTAATTTCTTTATAAACATTTTTAAAATTAAGTTTCAAATAAATGGTGTTTTTTTTTTAACTTTCTAATCATCAAAGAATCTACAAAAGGTTTCTACAAAAATATTAAGCACCACAGCCGTTTTCAACATTGCTAATAATAAGAAATGTTTCTTGAGCACCAAATCAGCATATTAGACATATTTTTGAAGAATCACGTGATACTGAAGACTGGAGATGGCGGCTTAAAATTAATCTTTGCCATCACAGGAATAGATTAAAATATATTGCAAATTTATATCAATTTAAACTCTAATATTTCATAATATTACTGCTTTTACTGTATTTTCAAATAAATGCAGTCAAATAAATGCAGCCTTTGTGAGCATAAGAAGCTTTTTTGATAAAACTGGTTTTAATCTTAAATATATTAGTTCACCTAAAAATTAAGATTTATTAACATTTATTCACACAAGAGTATTACAATGGTTTTTGTACATTTAATGAACGTCATTGTGTTCCAAAAACCCACTGACTTCAATCTTTATGGAGAAAAAACAAAAACATTTTTAATATCTTGTGTTCCACACATTAAGATATTTGATAACAGAATTGTAATTTTGTTATGAACAACCCCATTAACATGTTCAAAAGAATGCTTTATTTGAGTGATCAGTTCCAGAAAGTGTTTCCATAAAAAGTTTGTCACATCTGCTCAAGTTGTTAAGTGTTAAACTAAGTTGTTAAACGTCTCTTTATCACATCCTCTATATTATGGCTCTGGTTCCCTGGCTCAAGTGGCTTAGTTCACTGTTAAACTGTCAGTGCTTTTCAGTTCCGCTCGCATGCCTGCAGCGTCTCCCTCAGGATCGCAGTCTCTCGCTCTGATGACTCAAACTTTGATGTAGGGAACCGTGGCAGCCTCTTCTGCCAAAACTTTGCTTCCAGTGAACTGAGTGAAATGTCAAAAAAGAGCATGTGTAAAGGTATAAATGTAAGACGAAAGGTGGGGAATTCCCATTTTAAACCTAGATCAAGAATGGCGGATCGGTCATGTAATTGCTCATGTACGTTTCCCCCCCCTGCAGAAGCCTACATCTTTTGTTTTTATCAGGCAAAGCCTCAGGGGCAGTGGTGTCATTTCGGAAAATGACTGGGAAGATAAACTCATTGCGGTGTGGATCGATGACAGTGGCTGGTGGGAGGGGGTCATATGTCTTATAGTCGTGCTCTATGGGCCTGATCATTACTCATAAATCTTGTGTTTTAATGGCTTGAACATTCTCGCTGATATCCTTGCGCTCTGGCTACTCGGATGCAATAAAATATTCCATTCTCGCTTTGTGTGAATAATGACCTTGAATGATGCTTTATGGTTACCATGGCAACCGTGATTGTTCCCTTGACAGGAATCGCGCTAGTCTGTGAGTGTACTAGCAGAATGTGCTGGGAACACACTCTTTCTTTTTTTCTTTCTTACTTTTGTGTGTTTTGTTTAGTAGTGCGAATGACACGTCGTTTTGTGCTTCATTCCGTTGGCAAATAGGAATAATACAGTTTCTAATTCAGGTTAACCCAGTTGTGTGCGATCGAAAGTTTTTCAAAAGACTGTGGTTTGAGAAATTATTCTTTTCAGGGCTCGCAAAATCGCTAGCCCGACGTCCCGGGGTTATTGTGTTTTCCATTCGGGCTACCAAAACGTATCACCGCCCTGCCCGACGGGCTATCTTGAACAGTGATATAAAATTCCTTCCTTGATTTGCATTGTTCACTAGCTTGTAGGGGTAAAACGGATCGTAGTTGATCTGCATGTGTTTCTAAGTCTTGCCGATTTAACCATTCATGCGCATTCGGAGATGCGCGCACTCATTCAAAGTGCGCACAGAGAGCCGCGTTTCAGACAATGCGCATACACAGAATTGTTTCCTCTTTCGCATATCCTTACATCTGAATGAACACATACACACAAAATTATCTCAAAATAACCGTCTCGGCAAGTATTCTCGTAAACACAGTCGGTTATGCCTTAAAGGTACAATATGTAAGTTTTCGCCGCTAGAGGTTGCATTTTCAAAATAATAACAGAGGAGAAGCTCGATGACGCAATGACGGAGCATGGAACGATGGGAAATGTTGTTTTCACAAATAATTTTCACGGATGATATTTGCTTACCTGTCTATTAAAACACACACGAGAGCGGAGTCTCTGTCCAGTCCGAAGTTTTCGCGAAGCTCTCTCCATTTTGGAAACGC